GTCTATGGGTCGGGTGACCCAGGCCAAGTCATCACCCGCCTTCCACCCACCCAGCGGGTGACCCAGGTCAAATCTTCACCCGCCCATCACCCAGAAAGGCATGCTGGCTGCGCCCACCCATAACCCACCCAAGACAGCTCGTGTAGACCTAAATCCGACCCATCACCTTGTGGGTCGGTGGGTGCAGGTGGGTGCGGCTCTGGGCGCCCGGTGCCCAGCTCTGCCTCACAGGCGTGGCCGATGAGCTGAAGGAGAGAATGCCCGCTTGGGCCAAGATGAAGAAGGAGAGTAGAGGACAACTAGTTTTAGTAGATGTAGAGATTTTCAGAGGTAGAGTAGGGGCCCTAGTAGATAGTGGGGCCACGCGCAGCTATATCAGTAGAAAGGCGCTGCAGAAGTTGAAGTTGGGGCTAAAGGTCCAGAAGCTAGCAGACCTCATAGTGAGTATCCTCGCAGACAATCGCACGATGCGAGTGGAGGATTACGTAGAGGGAGTCCAGGCGTACTTCCGCCTAGAGAAAGATGGGAAAGTGGAGAAAGTTCTCCATTCCTTGACTCTCCTCGTAGAGGACAGCCTTCCCTTCGATATAGTCCTAGGAATGGACTGGGGAGAGGCAGCGGGGGCCACACTCCATTTGAGGGAACATGAGTGTTGGCTCCCTAGCCCGTAAGGCGGGGTCAAGACTGCCCGTCTGTTTCATGTGTCAGGAATAGACAACTCCCAAGCACATTGCTGCCTTAGCGCTCCTGCGTTCGCAAGGTTAGTGAAGAAGGAGCCGCTAGAAGAACAGGTTTTTGTAGCCTATGTCAGGTCAGTTACTGAGCCTAAAGAGGAAAAGACCATAGATCCCGCTATTGCCAAGCTGCTGGAAGAGTACACAGATTTAGCTAAGCCGCCAACGGGAGTAGTTCCGCGGCCCATCCAGCATCGCATTGAGATAGAGGCTGGCAGTAGGACTCTTAAAGGAACAACGTATAGGATGTCCCCGCGGAAATTGGAGGAGTTGCGCAAGCAGTTAGACAAACTCCTAGAGAAGGGTTGGATTAGGCCCAGTTCGTCTCCATTTGGAGCACCTGTCCTATTTGTCCCAAAGAAGGAGGGAGAGCTCAGAATGTGCATTGACTATAGGGGTCTCAATGCTATCACAGTGAAGAATGCGGAGCCACTGCCCCGTATAGATGATCTTTTAGATCGGGTGCAGGGTTGCAAGTATTTTTCGAAGATAGACTTGAAGTCCGGATACCATCAAATAAAGGTCCATCCTGATGATCAGTATAAGACGGCGTTCCTGACTAGATATGGGGACTACGAGTTTATAGTTATGCCCTTTGGACTAACCAACGCGCCAGCAACTTTCCAACATTGTATGAACGACTTGTTTAGGCCGTGGTTGGACAGGTTTGTAGTAGTTTATTAAGATGACACTCTAGTGTTCAGTAGGACCCTCCAGGAGAATGAGGGTCATCTAAGGCAGGTCTTGGAGAAATTCAGGGAGGCTAACTTCAAGATCAACGCAAAGAAGTGTGAATGGGCAAAGACCCAAGTTCTGTATTTAGGCCATGTCTTAGACGGAGACGGCATCAAACCAGAAGATAGTAAGATCGCAGCGATTAGAGATTGGCCTACACCCCACACGTTAAGAGAGTTGCGGTCGTTCTTAGGCTTAACTAACTATTACGGGAAGTTTGTAAGAAACTTCTCCACCATCGCTGCACCCCTTCGCAGGTTGCTGAAAAAGAGACAATCTGGAAGTGGGACAAGGACTGCACGTCTGCCATGAAGAAGTTGAAGCAGGCGTTGATAGAGTACCCAATCCTATCAGTCACTACCACTCACAAACTGGCTGATTGATGCAGTGAATATCGGTGCCTGCAGTAAACTACTTGGTATATGATCATTGAGCCATCTTTTTAAGACGCCATACAGCATGCATGCATCTCCCGCTCTTCCAGTATGTCAGCAGAATCTTGCGCAGTGAGTCAGCACTACTAACCTTATACAATATGCATCCATCACCCGATAAGAGCGTCTTCCTGTAATCGAACTTGACAGCCCTGCAAAACAATGAAGATCAGGGGTTACCGGTCGTTCGGAGAGAAAACATGGAAACATGCGACTACATCAGACACCTTCCTTTTGTACCTGGCTGGTAGAAAAACATATGTAACTGTACGGCAAACCAATCACGAGTTCAAGAACTGCTGGACAGGATAATGTGAGCAGTTATCCCGCTTTACAGGAGAAAAAAAAGATCCAAAGCCATCTTGGGATGCCACTGCATGACCTATTTTGGCCATCTGACCCTTTGACCAACACCATGCACGCAAATGCGACAATAGCACTGGAGTGACCAGCCATACATACAACATGATCCATCTCCACAACGGGAAAATATCATGACTACTGGTAAGGCAGAGCTGGAATCTGAATCATCCAGCAACGACCACCATGATCCAGGCCAAGGCATATACCTGCAACGACCCACACGCAATCAGTCTAAGATTTATGCAGTTTTCTGAGCATTGCTGCTTGCTGGTTTGATTTGCTGAGATTTTCATGTTCTGAATGAGATTGCTGTTTGCTTGTGTGATGATTGCTATGCAGAGTACTACCTGTGTCTCCCCCTGTGTTTTCCGTGTCCCATTGGAAGGGGTGGTTTAGAAATAGCGCAACCGCAGGGATAGGACTGAAATTGGAGACCAGACAGACTTCTAGAAAGGCCATGATGGACAAGGACATAAGTAGTATTTGGCTAGTACCCGGTAGGGACTTCCCAGTAACTCAGGTAGCCCAGCTGCGGACCAGTAGGCTCAGAGGGACCCCAAAAAAAAAAAAAAAAAAAAAAAAAAAGGGACCCGGTAGCTTCCAAAAAGGTCATGATTAGTCAGGGCTCGTACCTAGATAGTGGAGGATTGCAGGCTGCAATGATGTTCCCTCCAAAAGGCAGTCTGGAAGCAGCAGTAGTGACGCGGTCAAGGGAGGATGGAGGCTGAGCTGCAAGACTATATCACTCGGCCACAATGAGTGACGGCACACATTACTCAGCAGTCATGCTGCTGCTGCTCCCAGAGGGTGAGGTTAGGCAGAGCTCCTCTAGAGTGGTGGAGCTGGAGGGTGAGGAAGAAGACCTCCATGGCTATGGAGCACTAGTAGTAGTAGGGTGTAGGCCTAGGCTGTGGAGGTAGAGGGTGAAGCGCCTCGTGCCAGGCTATGGAGAAGGGTGGAAGAAGGGTGTAATGGTTGGGAGGGCAAGAATAAGAAGAACCGACATGGGAGACTCACCTTCGGCTATGGTGGACCTTCATCTCCACTTCCTTGGTTGGCGCATTGGGAAAACAAGGCTCAGAGGGACTGGTGGATTTCAATCTCAAAAGTTACATAACCATTTGGTTGGCCATTGTGTTGCCAGTGCTGAAAAAGTACCACCTACATATGTCTTCTCTACCGTTGAACAAGTGGAAGCACTGCAGTCTTTGAAACAACGTTTGGGTATTTCACCGACTCCATAGTTTTTTTGTTTTTTTTTGTTTTCTTTTTAGTTAGTTTAGCCGTCGAACAAAATTTTTCCTTTCACATCCAACACCTATCCAGCCATTTTGATCGATGCCAAGGGCAAGGTCAATCATCAATGCATACCATGCAATCACCCATAACTTCAGTAAAACAAGATCATGCATCCATTCATCATGTTTGACCATATTTAGTCATTGACTCATTGTGATTTCCAATCTCCCATTCCCCTTCTTGAGTGACTGGTCGGTTTCAAACAAGAAACAAACCCGGGCAGAGTGCTGGTGTCGAGGTCGATCGTCCCACATTTCTTGTAATCTTGCGGATAATCCTTCACTCTCTCGCGCTTGCGCTTCATAACCTCCTGTCGCACACAGACAGTTGAGGAGAATGAAGAGCTAATGCTTTCGAGGGAGAGGAAGGCAAGGGTGGAGGGGGGCAAAGGGGAAAGACAGGAGGGTGGATAGGAAAGGAGAGGAACACGAGAGGGGACTGAGAAAGGGAAGGAGAAGGAGAAGAAGAAAAGCAGCAAAGGCAGTAGGAGAACCAAAGAACACACTGCAATCTGAAAGCAGATTTGAACAACACAATTTCGCTGAGTCTGAATACAATTATGGAACTCCGATCCCTATAGAAATGACCATTTCGAGTTCACGTGGAAAAGGGAGTGGGGAGAGGAGGGCGGCAGTGTGGCACACATGACAAAGAATCAGATTGGTAACAACAGGGTGTTAAGTCGTCATAAACTGAAAAACTCCTTAAGGAGTGAGCGAGATAAACCATATATGCATATGCCTGAAAAATGAGAGGGAGAGAGGAAGGGGAGGGGTACCGGGGGGGGAGCAAGGGAGAGAGTGAGTGAGAGATGGCCGCCCTCCTCCTCCAGTTTGTTGCCACTATCTCCTCGGTAACTACCACTGTCAGTGGTTTCAAGGATGAAGGTGGGCTAGTTTCGAAGGAGGAGGAAGACGAGGAGGAGGAGGAGGAGGAGGAGGAGGAAGAAGAAGAAGAAGAAAGAGGATTAGGACACAATGCTTGAGAAGGAGGGAGCAGTTAGATGTGTACCCCATTCAGGCACATGGACTGGGTCTTCCCTGACCACCTTGTTTGTTCGTTTCCAATCCATGGAAGGCTCTCAACTATCTGTTCGGACCAACGAGCCTAGCTCAGTTGGCACACCCATAAACTGTTGAAATACAGACCCAAGTTCGAATCCTGATGGACCTAGATGAATGCAATGAAATTATGAAATGATTCTGAATTACCTGGAGCCGGTCAATTTGATGATGATATTTCAAGGTTGTCGCCCTTTCTTAAAAAAACGAAAAAAGAAAAGGGAAAAGAAAAAAGAAAAAAAAGTTCAAAAACTCTCTGTGGGGGGGAAGAGGGAGAGAGCAAGAAGGTTTCCAGGAACCTTTTCTTCTTTTGGTTTCGAGGAAGGTTTCAAATCGTTACGTCACCAAAAATTGCACCAGCCGCAGTGGGCTGCAGGTAGATTGGCCACTGAGTGGGTGGATAGGAAACTAAGGTACAAAATCAAGTACGTAGTCAAGTCCAGCATGTGTAGGCCTTGCAAGCAAGCCGCGTATAGCCCAGTCTGTGTAGGCCTTGGGCGCTGCTTGGACGACTGTTAAGAACGAAACAAGTTTCTAAACTGCAATGCAATCAGACTCGCTCTTCTCTTACTTCGCATGCATGCAAACAGATGGCAAACCACACTGGTGCTGGGCGCCCACACAAAGCTCAGAGATATTCAAGCCGAGAACACAGTTCAGATACAAACTCGCTGCAAATTGGCTATGGCGCCTGAGCGCCTGCACTTATCACTGCGGACACTATATTCGCACAACTGTTCACACACACTCGACTCTGGATCTCCCTGGATATCCCACACACACTCACTCAGTACCATACACACACACGCTGGAACCTATCTCTACACCATCGCGGCTATGGCCACTCACTACCACTGACTATGGAAGCTCTATCTCCTTCTCAGCCCACTTCGACTTCGGGCACCTGCAGACCACCTCGCACAAGACGCTAGGGCAGCGCTTCCGCATGGCTCATGCAGAATGACTGAATGGCTGGACGCTGCTTCTTGATTTATACTTTTGTAGGTCGCTGGTCTGCCCCTTTCCACCGGGCCCAGGGCGCACACAGCCCCACATGGTACTTGCTGACCGGACAAAGTAAGACTGGGACTGGGTACCGCTGACTAGACAAAGTTGGACTGCCTACTTGCTCACTTGCCTCTGGCCTAACGTGGAAAACTCTCGAAAGGCCACTTCCGGACCTTCTGGAAGTCTGCGGACTTGGCCTTTCGGCCCCGTAGCAGCTACGACCTTGACCTTTCAGGACTGTTGCAGCTACGACCTTGACCTTTCAGAGCTACAACAACTATGACCCCTACACAGGTATGACCCCTACTTCGACAGGTCTACGGTTCAAGACCCGACAGCTACACAGACCTATGAGAGACAACATTCAGCTACCAACACACAGGTCACGGGTTCAAAACACACAGGCTTGACTTGATACTGTACACGGGTAAGGTAAGGTCTAGGGATCGAGCCCTGGGATCTGCATCTGTTACTGTAATGCAATCAGACTCGCTTACTTCTTCACTGCGCATGCATACAAACAGATGGTGATTCACACTGGCGCATAGCGCCCAACTCAAAGCTCAGAGACATGGAAACCAAGAACACAGTTCAGATGTAAACTCACTTCAACAGGCTATGGCGCATCAGCACCTGTACATCCCAACTCTCGTCCCTGTGTCCATCACCACTGTTCGCTCACACTTCAACTCTGGATCACCCTGAACACCCCATGCACACACTCTGTAACACTCAAGCATACACACCTATCACTAGCTACGGCAGCTATGGCCGCCAACTAACACTAACTACCAGCAGCTATGGCTGCGCTAACTCTCCTTCAGCCCACTTCGACTTCGGGCGCATCTGCAGACCACCTCGCACAAGTCACTGTGGCAGCGCTTCCGCATGGCTTCCGCAGGAATGAATGAATGGCTGGGTGCTGCCTCTTGATTTATACTTCTGGAAGTCGTTGGTCTGCCTCTTTCCACCGGGCCCATGGTACACACAGTCCCTCGTGGTACTTGCTGGACTGGACTGGGACTGACTGGACCGTACCGTTGACTGCATGGGGACGCACTGCTAACTTACCGCAGTCGTACTGCAGACGTACTGCAGTTGGCCTCCCCACTTGCCCACTTGCCTCTGTCTAAACATGAGCAAACTTCGAAAGGCCACTTCCGGAACCTTCCAGAAGTCTGTAGGTTTGGCCAGTCGAACACTGTAGCAGCCACGACCTTGACCTTTCAGGACTGCTACAGCTACGACTTCTAGAACCCACTAGGATCTCTATCTGACAGGTCTACAGTTCGAACCCCCACCTCCTATAGACCTACGACAGCCTACCAACTGTTTACGAACACACAGGTCACGGGTTCAAACACTCAGGGGTCAACTCGATACTGTACATGGGTAAGGTAAGGTCTGGGGATCAAACCCTGGGATCTGCATCTGCCTCTGCAAAGGTGAAAACCGTTTCACGCCTACCGGCCTAAATTCGAGATCCTGCGAGAATACTTCAGTCCAAGGCAGGACTTTTACCTTTCTTGTCTCTCTCATAGGCACGAACTATATCGGGAGCGGTCTCTAGAAGTTCTGTTCGTGTGTACCAGCGGTCATCTTCAGGTTCTTGAAAAGAGAATCTAACTTTATATTGCTTTTGGGGACGACCTCTACCTCCAGTTCTGAAAACATCTTCACCTACTATGCGATCAATGTCGTACCTGCCATCCATATCCGGAGGAATCATGGATCTTCTGGATGGGAACTGATCATTCGTCGTGCAGGGCAACAACTTTGATGCATGAAAAACTGGGTAGGTGTGGAGGTGTGCTGGAATCTCAACAGTATAAGATGGTCCATCCTCTCCGCTTTTGACTTCTAGGACTGGCCACGGTCCTCTATGCGCAGGTAGCAACTTCTGTGATATGTTCTCCTCAGGAGCAAACTCTTTCGACTTGACCCAAACTAAGTCGCCTTCTTGAAACTGCGACGGGCGACGGTGCTTGTTGGCTTGCTCTATCATCCTACGCTGGGCCTTCCTGAGCTTTTCTACAACAGTAGCTAACTCTTTCTCGTGCTGTAACGCAAACTCCCTGGTACCGGGCGGTAGCCTCTGAATCTGATCCCGGTTAAGTCCTTCAAAAGGTCTACGCGGTCTGAAGGACTTACGCAACTCGTTGGGAGTGCGACAAGTGGCTAAATGCACGCTGTTGTTATATGCACTGGCTACCTTTGGGAGCATCTCATCCCAGTTAACTTGATCAGGTCTAAAGTACATCCGCAGAACCTATTGCAGGATTTTGTTCATCTGTTCGGTCTGACCGTTGGTCTCCAGGTGACGGCCAGATGACATCAACAACTTGGAGCCATAGACTCTCATCAACTCCTGCCAGTTCTGACTAGTGAACCGGGTGTCTCTATCACTAACTATAGACAGCGGAATCCCGTGCTCACTGACCCAATGATCGAAGAACTTCTGAATAACTAACTCTGTGAGTGCCTCTGAGGGCAAAGGAACAAAAACAGCATACTTACTAAATCTATCAACTATTACCATGACTTGGGTCTTGCCGTGTCTACTCTTGACATGGGTGTCCATAAAGTCAATGGACACTGAGTCTCCTGGCTGGTCGGGAATAGGCAAGGGTCTGAGAAGACCTAGAGGGGCACGCGTAGAGGTCTTGTTTCTCTGGCAGACCTTACAACTGCGGACATATTATATGCAGTCAGCCTTCATCCCTGGCCATATATATGCGCGCATGAGGTTGGCTAGAGTCTTTTGCCAACCAAAGTGTCTCTCAGTATCGTGGCATTCCCCTAGGATCAGACTACGGATCTCCTCACTGTTAGGAATGCACAACCGGTCAACTACGTTAGTCTTCTCAAATAGCAACCCATCAGTAGTGCGGTAGTCTGGTTCGGACTCTGGGGCCTCCTTTACTCTCTTGAGGAAGTCACTATAGATAGGGTCCTGCGCATACGCTTCTCTAACTTTTTGTTGCAGATCTCTCCCTATATCCAGATAATGAACTATTGCTCCAAAGTAGTCAGCTCTCCTACTGAGAGCGTCCGCAACTACATTATACTTTCCTTTGACTGGCTTGAGCTCAAAATCATATTGGTTTAACTCTGCGGCCCACCTAGTCAGCTTAGGTGTCATCTTGGCCTGAGTCTTCAGCCATCTTAATGTCTCGTGGTCTGAATAGACTTTGAAGTGTCTCCCAAGCAAGTACTGCTTCCAACGTTCTAGGGCTTGCCT